GGCCGTAGAACGCCATGTTTGTGGGATGTTTCTTAAACAACGACCCCACATGCATTGTCGATCTGACTTGGTGAATGCATGCTAAGGCAAGTCATATCGTCGAGGCCTTTTTCGTTGAAAACGAAACAACCGGATCCACACCTATGTATGTCTGGTTGTTTTTGTTGGTAGGCATTTACCAACGTATCGCATGCCAAACATTGGGATTAAGATGAGGGCGTTTAAAGCATTGGCTACAAGTGGATTAGAATGTATGGCACCATAAGATATATCACGGGGGTAAAATATTTCGACTATAGTTGCTTCCATTCTCTGACGTACGCAAAAGCGGGGAGAACAGGGGGAGAACGGAAGGATGGTTAATTTTATCTATATCGCAGCAAAACTCTGGATAAATAACCAAATAATCAGATGAATGAGGAGATGCACCATCTACCTGCCGTTTCTCTGTATCTCACAAAGAAGCGTACGACACTCTCGAGTCCCGTTCGAATCAACGTCGGTGACGGTGGCTCGCCCTTGACCGCTTCGAGCGAAGTGGCGCTATAATCGGGATTAACATATACGTCCGTCGGCAGCGTCTGCGATGTCGATGGTGCGGTGCGCCAAGATGCTGTTGTGTCTAGCCGAATAAAGCCCGAAAACAAAGATGCCGAGTGACGTCGGTTTCCGCCGGCAGTGGGCCACACGGGATCGGTTTGCAGTGTCGGGCCGAGGCAGGCCGCCTGATCCTTAGACGTCAGTCCTTGGTGAGGAATGATATCAACAACACACATTAGAGAGACCAAGAGCGGGAAAAGGCCATCGTGATAACTGAGTGCTCGGAGGGTGCCTGATTGACTCCAGAAGGGTTCCATTTATTTAAAGGAGGATTATGCGAGAAAATACTGGGCAGTAGACGCTCAGTTGAAAATGAATTGGCAGCCGGATATCGAGGTCCAAATCCGTATAGCCAGGTTGGCCTATGCATGACAGCGGATAAAAAACCAACTACATACCCTCATATGTATATAAGAGGTACAATTTGTCTGCCAATGAGGGGAAGTTCGAATTTTTATTAACTGATAACCTATGAAGTACTCAATTTCAATCCAATGTGGGATAACACGGTTATGAACTGATATTTTAAAATCCCTTCTGATTAACTAATGTAAATATAATGCACATATAATCTACGCTGCCCTACCAACGATTTCCTTTCCAAGTGAGTTCCTCACTTCTTCGACTACCTTACTAGCCAGTGTCTCTACAGCTTCAACCTCTTCCCATGTAGCTCCGTTATTGACACATCCCCTACCAAAATTAGCACGCCTCAGTAACTTTACTTAAAGACTTACCTTCTATGGCCCTTCCTTTGTGCTGCCCATGCTTCTCCACCAGTGACTAAACCGGTAACTAGCACATAACCCGTCTCCCTCTTCCCCAGCACCCCTTCATCGGCCAATACTCCGGCATAAAGCATCCTCGCCACGATTCCGAGATCATCATAACTCCTCTTCATACCTCTCATAACTCTTGGCCCAACTTTACCATAGATACTATCCCACAGCCTATCTCCCTCTTCTAGATTCAACGTCCCTTCCTGTCTATGACTCGGCGTAGGTTGATCCAACAATTCCTCCGCCACGACAGTCTTCAAAGCGTTTAAAGCATTTATAGTAGAAGGTAGTCCTCCGATAGCTGAAGCTTTTAATAAAGCTTCTCGGGTATGGTTAAGGACTGTGACGGAATCATAGCTTGGTGTGGCGTACGCGTAGATATGGGGTATCTCGGCGGGGCGGTTTAGGAGCGCGAACGCGACAGAGGCGAGATAGTACCATGAATGCGCCGGAAGGTGTGGGATGCTCCGCAGAGACGTCAAGAAGGTTGGGGTCGCAAGAAGAGGCACCATCGTTAGTAGGCGGTGAGCTTTGGAGGCGTCATGATGGGGAGCTATCACGGCGTGTGGTGGAGGCCGGCGCGCGCGTCAAGCCCGAGGTTAGCGGCGTGTGGTTCCGAGTCATCGTATATCACACGAGTATGGAATCGCAATATAGTTCAGCATTTTCAAATGCATGAGCATACAGACAAACAAAATAGTTCACCACCATCGCACGCATTTAATTCAGTCAAAATTTACTACGGTCTCAGTATCATGGTATGGCGGCCATCGGTGCCCCTAACATCTAAGCAATTCTGGCATCAGATTATTGGAATTGCAATAGTATTGAAACTCAACCTTGAACTCATATTATGCTCTTCGTTTCCGTGTGCTTACATGCAGCCTCTTGATTCATTAGCATTCCCTAATATGAATGAAAATATTGGTTGCTACAGTGTGATCTACGAGTTATATGTGCAGTCATGTTCATGGAGTGTTTCGCTGCGGTTATGAGTCGCATTCTTAACAAGGGTTGGTTACATGTCTCAGGTGATTCCAGTTGGTATTGTAGGGTATATACGGCAATGCATTTGTACATGGAGGGCCAAAAGAATTTTGCCACCGAACCAACACCAGACGTATGTCGCATGCACAACATCCAACAAGTGCACTTTCGCGCACTACCACCCACCAGCCACAGACACCGTTGCCCCAACCATACCACACAGCTGACTAAACCACGGAAACGCGCATTTCATATAGTGGTAATCCAAATGACACAAAATATTCTTAAGCGTAAATCAAACAATTGTCAAGTAAAAGACATCAAGACTATAAAGCGCAAATAACACAGTTGTCATCAAAAAAAAAAGAATCGATGGACGGTTCTGCAGTGGCTGTTGAGATAGTGGTGATTTAGATCGAACAGAATATTCTATGAGCGCAGATAAAGCAGTCTGTACGATGAATGAATACAAATGGAGTGATGCAGGATGAGATTTTACATTACAGCCCTAAGAATAGTAAATAAATGGAGTGGAAAAAGGATTTTCTTGCTGATATTCTGAGCTATCGTAGTTTTTCCCCCATAGAAACACCACAGCACTTATGGTGCGTTTGGTTCAAACCGAAAACAAAGTTTCAAGCCCTTTTTACCTGTGAAAGTAGGCTAAAAAACTTTGTTTTCGGTCGAACCAAACGCACCCTTATTGAAACTTCATAGAAACAACAGACTTTTCTTTTAGCAACGGAATGATGTCACGGTTGATTGCCTTGAGAAGCGGCTGCTCCATGTATATTTAATGCTTTCTTTCTTCACTGTATATACATAGTGGAATGATTTAGTGGCGATCGAAGGAAGGGAAATGCGAGGCGTTTTAATTTGATTGACGGTGAAATCATTTTTTTCTCCGTGGCATCATAAGCTTTTTTTTTAGGTTTTACATTTAGGGTTTTTGTTATCCAGAATGCTTTATGTGATTCTTTTGGACGCGAGGGTAATGCTAATTCTATATGTGTGATGTGTTTTTGCAAGTTTTGTGACATACATATCAAGATTTACCCATTCAAGGAGCTAAAGAGATCTTCACGTACATAATAGGCAAGAATCTGTAGAGAAAAGACAAAATAAAGAAAAAATGAAAGCAAGAACCATACTGATGGTGACTTTATTGTTTGTTTTAAGTCATATTCACAACAGTACGGCCTTGATTTCTTCTCTGCCAGTGGTAAAAACAGTAATACCTCTAATTCTCTAATATCTTACTCTTAGCCCCGAACCCAGGAGAATCTCTACATTTTACTGATCATTATTTACTTTTATCCGCGCTGTTATACAAAATTTTCTGTAGCATTACTGCATTTCTATTCATTTTTTCTAACTACTGCGTTATGTGCGTTTTAAAATACCGATATCATCGATTTGATCATTGTTTTATTTGCGCTTAACAATATTCTGTGCCATTTAGATAACAAATGTACTTGCTGCGCGCTTCCGATTTTATGGAGCGCCACAGCCTGTGGTTTAGTCAGCGGTGTTTGTGGCTTGAAGGTCATGGGTAGTGGAAAGTGCACTTGTTGGATGTTGTGCATGCGACATGCATGGAGTGTTGGTTTTGTGGCAAAATTCTTTTGGCCCTCCATGTACAAATGCATTGCCGTAGTATAGGGCATAATAGTGGTGGCGCGGAGCGGAAAGGAATACAGTGACTCAGGGGCTTAGTTCGTAGATAGCTATCAACAAGTGATTGTTTGAATCAATCAACAGGTTCAAAGTTGTATGTACTCAAGGAGCAGTCTATGCGTCGACTCAAATGTAGTCTATGTCCCTGTAAATCTTCAGGGTCCTAGCCTGTCGTTGTCCCTTATCCCCAGACCGTACGGCCATACAATCCCTGGGCTATCCAACTTGCCGCCCAAAGGTTTCTACTCACATACGCCTTGCCAACCAAGCCCTGGTCTGACTGATAGCTCCTTGGAGGCTGGAGCCTACTTCCACTCCATCGCGACCAAAATTTCCCACTCAATCATCATTATGAACATTACCAAGATTGGAAACATGCTTTTCGAGACGTTAAAGCATCGAATACAGATTGGATAACCTTTCAGTGGCCCGTTGATGCATGATATTCTCAAATAGGGTGAAAAATGCGAGTTCAAACAATTAATGAAATTTATCAACCTACGTATAGTTAAACTGGCATGGTAAAATCAATAAATCATAAACTTGCATTGAAACCAACCTCTGTGAAAAATATTCGTGGTTGGGGTGCTAGTGACTGAGAATGGCGGAGGGATGATGGTTGCCAAAATTGAAATATTGATAGTTATCGTAGTACCACAACATGTGATTACTCTTCGCGCATGTTGTAAATCAACCTATAACTCAGAAATTAATCCGCAACTTTAAAAATGGTTGCAGGCTATGTTATTAGGTCGGTCGATATGATATGGTGAGACGTAGGTTCTGTTATTCTTTTGGTGAGGATATATTAAATGTAATATGAATTCCTATTGGCCTGTTTCAGTGAATCAACACAAATATGCACAGTTGAATAAATGTGAACTATGCATCGTTGAGTGGTCGTCACTAGAGGTGGGCAAAAAAGTGAGCCGGACAAGAGAGGTTTACAAAAAGGAAGGCCCGAATCCGGGTTTGAACCGGAGACCTCCTGCATGCAGGAACACCCAAAGCAGGAATCATACCACTAGACCATTCGGGCTTCTCTATTTTTACTGAAAGTATTTAAGTTATAATCATTAAACAAGCACTCTGAAGAAATATCAGATCAAGTCAATTCTATGACAGAAGTTACGTTGTTTGCCCAATACATCTGACTTCAGTGATAATAAAGCTTCTTGTGCACTATGATAACATGTTGGTACAATGGCCGAACTGTATTCTGCTCAAAATACGACTCTTGTGTTCATCGATTATAAATGATGGCCATCTCCAGTATCCATAAAATAATAGGTATTCAAAGCTCCTAGATTATGCCCAATCGAATATAACATCTATCACTAATCAGCAGTGAACAACCTTTACCGTCCATTAATAAGCGATATTATCTACTGTAACTGCAAACTCTATACTTCGCGTTACTAAAATCAATTTATACATAGATCGCATGCAGGTCAAAGAATTCCCAAACACTGAGGCGGTACCAGTCGTCCGGCGATGTCTTCAACTTATTCGAGCCCGTGTGACAATCAGCATGTTTAAATTCCCATGCCTGGAACCTGTTCTACCCAGATCCCTTCGGCGTCTCCGTATATTCTGGTCTAGACTTCCATCCAACTCTCAACATCCATGATGCCAGAAACATGAATTCCATATTGAAAATACCGCAAAGAAAGCCACTTCAACCCAGTGGCAAATTGTGGCTTGCTTCCCGATGCTGTATTTGAGGCGTGATAATAAGAAAGCAAGGCTCGGGGATATCCCCGCAGCCGGAATTGATTTCGCTGATGTCCGACCGTGTCTATTTGATAGTAATACGGATTGAAGTTCCACTCGAAGGACTGTCGGCTTGTCAAAGGGGTTCAATACAGACGAGAACGGTGTTGGTAAGGAGAGAGGGAGATAAGAAGCAAATAATTTTCGTAGTCTCACATTAGTTAACGTCTCATTGGAAAATAATATTAGATATCCCACAAAAGTAATCACGCCTAATTCCGAATATTACGGTGAGTAACTATTGTAAGGAGTACAAAAGCGGAAGCGAACAAAAAATAATTACGAGAAGTAAAAAAGCTCCTCCGGGTGGGCTTGAACCACCAACCTCCTGATCGCAGAATAGATTCATAACAGTCAGACGCGCTAGCCAATTGCGCCACGGGGGATTACGTATAATCGACATAAGATACATATACAACCTATTATTAATGTTCAGACGTCGAAACAAGCTCCCGTCGCTCGCCTCCCACCAAGCGATTGACTAAAAGAGGTCACGCGATGTCCTTCTCGAAGCGCCGACGCGAATCCCGCGTGCAAGATCGCCGCGCACCACGCCACCAAGCGAACTGGTATGTAGCGGCGCCGGTAGCGAATCTTTGTATAAATTGAGCCACTGACAATGTGATGGTAGCAACGTGTGGATGGCGAGTGGCAAAGGTAATCTTGACTTCATTTCACTCGTCAGTAAGCGAGAGATGGGTTCTATCTATGCCGGAAACAAGCATCACGAGATATCACTGTGCGCCTGGGCTGCATGGAAAGTTCCAAAAGGTGTTCGAAATATGCAATGCAACAGCGCAAATATTCACCGGTCATACCATCGCCACGAGACTCTGATATCGAACTTAAAGCTGTGTATCGCCGCCACATCTATCAGTCACATACTGTACGCAATGCAATACTATCACAAACCGAGACCCGTGGACAAACAAAAGTAATTGTCACAGTATCGTATTATTAACCTACAAGAAAGTAACCAATAATGAAAGTGCGCGCCAAAAACCAATCCAACGCCGAACCATGATGCCTCCCAAAGTTTGTTGTGTCCGTTTTCCTCCATAAGATTTTCCACGTATCATCCATAGCTAAGGTACAAATAAATCCAGTTCCAAACGCCGTAAATCCCAAGCCCACATGTCACCTCCTCCTTGAGCTTACCCACAATCACCATCCCCGGTGCTATCTTCTGTAACCTAATTCCCGTGGTCACTCCCATTGTCCCATTCGCTCGCTTCTTCTCACACTTCCCTTCGCATTGCCCTTTCCTTCTCCTTCTCCTTATTCAGCTCATCGAACCCTCATAACCGGGATTGCCTCCCCTCCCCTGCTAGGTGCCTCATTGAGAAACGCATCCGCTCTCTTGACCGCCCAAAAGTCCAAGTCTGAAAGTACCGCGGCGCCAACTTGCTGCCTGACCTCCCACTCCGAATGCATCATCATCTCATCCTTGCATAGCATAGTTGGACCATCGTATACCATCAAGCACCTTCGTTTCTGTACCATATTCTCTGGTGGTGCGCCCCAAGAAGCAGGAAAGTTCTTCTTCCTTCTTCTCTTAGGAATAGGCTTGCTGACGTGATTCCCTCCAGACACTACCCGGCGAAAAGTGCCTTGGTTGGTATTGGTGCGCTTAGGACGGGCCTTGGACGCGTTGCTGGAGTTCTTAGTACGCTTTCCAGGACCAGGGTAGGTTTCATCTTTCTCTTCGTCATCTTCGAGCTCAAGTTCTTCGTCTTCACTGCCGTCTTCATCATCTTCCTCTGGCATCTGCTGGCCAGACCATGATTCTTCAACCTTCACCATCGCAAGGTTTCTTTCGTTTGCCTTCGCCGCAGGCTCTTCCTGTACTACCTTACTCAAAACACACTCATCAAGATGCTCATAAAACTCCTGCGCCGTAGGAAACATTCTGTTACATGTAGAACAACGACCTTGCTGAAACTCCTCCTGACCGTCACTAACTGCTACCTTGCCACGCTTCTTCTGTCTTCCGTTGGGTGGGGTTTGTTCGACGCTGTGCACGGCCATTAAGTGTCGCTTAAAAACATCGGCACGGTTAAAACTCTTCTCCATTGCGCTTCCTGGGGAAGGGCAAAAGCCGCAGACCATGGTACCTTTATAATGTGTCAAGGTGTGACGTTGGCAGTCATATTTTCTTGCAAAGCCCTTCTTGCTGTATTCGCATGATGGAATTGGGCATTTCTCGGGGCGCTCCTTAAGATGCGTCAATTGATGTGCCTTCAAGTCCCTAAAGGTCTTGTTGCAGGTGATGCAGTGGGTATCTTTGGGTACCGAAGTGGAGGGCTTATCTGGAGACCCTATAGAGCGCTGAGAAGGTGACCGAGTCGGCACAGAATAGTCGCGCGGAGTGTGATATTCCTCCTCCCTTGGTGAGCCTAGACTTCGGTGGGAGTGTTCGCTGCCGGTACTAAGGCGGCGGCCGTAAGGCAGATGCCTGGAATTGTTCTGGTGATGGGGAGAAGACAGGCGTCCACTGGTTTGCCTTCGGAGGTCTGGGGATGCAGGATTGCTAGTGTTCTGTGGTGGTGATTGGGGTAGCTGCCATGAAGGTGATGCATATGGGCTAATATGGCGGTCTCGCGGCGAATTCGAAACCAGTGAGGGGTCAATTCCGGGTTGAAGTGAAACGGCATATCTGGGCTCCGTCTCATGGAAAGCGGGATGGTCAAGTAGAGAGCCGGACATTGGGTCCTGGTATGGCGAGTTCCTTGCACTCGCTGGTTCAGAACTGTGAGCAGAGGTTGTAGGTGATGGGGTTGGACGGTAATCGCTGAGGTGGTGGTGAAAATATGGCGCAGCATGCAGCATCACATCCGGTGCAGAGGACATAGCAGAGTCCATATACGTCCTGGGAATATCTGTAACATGAAATGGAGAGTAGGAAGGAGGAGGTGCATAGTCTGGTGCTGAGGAAGCAAAGGGAATTGGCATGGCCATTGTGCCAGTTGACACGGGGTAATACTGCTGTTGAGACTTTTGCATCTTGGACTCGTCACTGTTGAGAAGGGCGGGGAAGTCGACGTCGGAAACCACGGGCTGGAAGACGTTACTCGAGCCCGGAAAGGTGTTGAGGCGATAGCTATTATACAATGCTTCTTGCTCGAAGAGCACAAAGTCACTTGGAGAAGGCTGAGGTTGGTGTTGTGTAGGCACTGAGCTCTTTCGTAGTGGTGGGGAGCGCGGCATTTTGAAGGAAATATCCTGGGTTTGTAGACGGATGTTATACGGTTGGATGCTTTCAGCTGCCTCTTAGAATCAAGTTGTGCTTCAGCAACCTGTTACACAACCATATTAGTTTTGCTAAAATACCACTGCGTAATTATTCCCCGCATGAAAGATGAGAGACGAATTTATTGGATGGGATGTATTATGAATCATTGGCTGGGGACGGGTTGAGGATGGGACGGGAGGTGAATCACACCCGGTCACAGGATATCACTGACCTGTGGCGAATCAACAACCCCGTTGGCGTCACGCTATTTTCGGATACCCTGAAGCCAGCGTGGGCGAATATTGAAATTATGCGGTGAGAGGATATGCTATTAGAATAATTATAGATTTGTTTTTTTTTTGAAAGAAAAAAAAATAATAGGATGCGGCTGATGAGTGGTAAACTGGACGGTGGTTCTAAATATCCAAATATTGTGACTGTCGATTGGCGATGCGGATGTGCCTGATATGCCTCGCAAAAGGATTGATAGTATGATTCGGTTCTGAGGTTCGAAGACGTCGAGGTACGGACGGTTTTAGCTCTGTTCTGTAGGGCTGGAGTTCGGAGGTGGTGCTGTGGTGGTGGGGGAGCACGGTAGTTATACTAAGGTGTTATCTGACACAGGTTGTAGTAGGTTGCCCCCTGGAATTGACCCAACATAAGGGGAGGAAGGACAGGTTATGTATCTGGTACTTGGGATCAGGCGGGACGGGTAGGACGATGATGGTGGGGGTGATCAGAGGTAGGGTAGGCGTCCGGAGGAGAGGACAAATAGATAGGATGGGACGGTAATAAATGCCAGGAGAGTAGGCGTCTCGCCTGCAGAGTGCTAACCAGACCATCAACCGCGAATTTACTTCTGGGCTTGCACCGTTTCTGTAACACTGCCGGACGTCAATAGCTGGTGACAATTGACAACAGTGGACTCCGCGACTAGAGATTAGTAGTAGTTCTACTTTTTTAACTTTGTAAGGTGAAGCTTTTCTTCAAAGCACTTAGAGCGGGCCTGGCAAGATGCAGCCCAAAAGCGGTGT